TTGGTCCAGTAAGTGTTGTTGTTGGTCCAGTAAGTGTTGTTGTTGGTCGGAATATTATTATAGTTCATCGTGTAAGTTGCTAGTGTGGAACATTTAAAAAAGTAACACTGAAGAAGTGACGTTTACTGTTTCTGTTGATTATCGTCTTCGAATTTCGCATGAAATGAAACATGAGTGTTGATGAGGAGTTCAGTGCCGTATACGGACAATATTTCCATGAAAAGGATGATGAAAACGATGATGAAAACTATGAAGAGAGCGATGATGATGAAGACGAAGTATGTGTATCTCAGGCATAAGATGATAAAAGATGGTAAAAAGATCTCAAGGAAAACGACAACAAAGAAAAATACATAAACTACTCAGCATTAATATTTTTGGCCCATAATACGTTTTTCTAGTGTATAACATGTCTTTATAGCTTATAATTCAATGTATTTTGTTCATTACCATTAAATTATATTTTGTCGTATTTTTACTCTTCTTTCTCTACATTTTTAGTACACTTCTAAGCAAGTTAGGATTTTCTGCTTTTCACCACGTGAAAAAGCATCTCATCTTCCATCCGAATCAACCAAAAAGTGAAAATTGATTTTTTGACACCTAAGCCCCCTTTCCGTAGACCAGGTCACATATTTTGAAAATTCCATAAACTTTGCTTTGTTGAACCAACCAATTTCAGTAGATCAATAATTATAATTATGCATTACGACACCTCGATATATTTCGTTAAGTCTATACATAATGATAATTCAATAAATATCGATAACTTGATACATTTCTTTAACTTGACAAATTTCGTTAATCCCACACGTTTTTATAGCTCGATAACTATCCGTAAATTTGGACAACTAAGTTTCTGTGTCTATAAATTTCGACAACTTAGTAAACATTGATCAGTTTGAATAATTCGATACGTTGCGATAACTTAATAAGCATGGATAAATTTCGATAATTATAAACTTCGATGATTCGATAAATTTCAGTAACCTTTATGGCTGATTTTATTTCGATTCCTATCTTTTAACCTAATTCTTATGTATTTCTCATTGTCTCCATTTTTGCCTTTATCCCAATTTTCGTCTTTATCTTCACTTTTGCCTTTTTTTTTGTCTTCATCGTTATCACTTGTTTCTTCATCTTCATATTTGTCTTTATTTCAAAGCTTAATTTCAAATGCGAAGTGAAACAACATGCGAAACATCTCAAATTGAACATGGTGCAGCAACATCTATACACAAATCGGAAATGTTTAAACGACGGTTTAGGCCGTAATTTTCAACCAATTTTATAACCATAAAAACTCTGCTCATCTAGAGAAAAAGGCCTTTCCAATGGTGTTCTTGGTTTGGAAATCGGTTCGGTAGAATCTCCAAACGAACGGAGACAAAATTCATGTTAGCGTATTAATATATAGACCATTAAGCAACCATCTGCTTTGCAGGGCAACCATCTCCCCTGACACAGCTTCATAGGGCTGAGAATATGCCTCTTTTGCCTTAGAAGAGTGTGACATTTTAAGAAACAAACACTAAATTTTCTCACCGTTTGCCTTTATTTTAGAATCGAACACGAAAAGAGAAAGGGGCAATGGGAAGCCGACATTATTTGGTGAAACCATAATGTAATAAACAAAGTGAAATCAATATATGATATTTATTTTCGATACGCTTATTTGGCAACAGTTTTCTCATTGCAATAACACATTTCACAGTAGCAACATTCTAAATGTATTTAAAATTTAAATTTTTTTATTATTATTATTATTTTTATTGTATTGAAGTGGAGTGGAAAAAAGTTTTGAGAAGCTTCTCCCTTGCCGCTGCATTGAGCGCGTTGTTGGTTGAGATCTACACGTCGTACGTGAACATATAAATAATGCGTTTATTGGAAATTTCGTCCTCTACAACTTTTCCATTTAAATATGCCACTTGTTTCAAATAGAAATTGCTCTTAATTTAAAAAAAACCGCGCCACTTACCTAATTTTGGTCATTTTTTGCATATTATTTTCAATAAATAATTGTTTATAAAAATGATAGGCATATGGAAATTGTAGGGAATCGAATTCTCTACCTTTTTTGGTAGGAAATGCAAACTTCGCGCGCAAATCGTAAAAACATAAGATCCGAGATGGCGGACATTTCCCATGTCGCAATTGGGGGAAAAATTTTCATTTTGTGTTCACCTAAACAGGAGACACCTAACTGCGTCAAAAAATGTCTTCCTTGTAATGATATTAGCTTTGAGTAAGATGAGATGTAAACCGGATATTATGTTGTAATGATATTACCCTTAAGCAAGATGAGATGTAAACCGGTTATTACGTTAGTGGTATGTTTAATAGTCCTAGCAAAGTTGAATAGAAAAAATAATGTAAAAAAAATATTTTTTAAAAACAAGCTTTTATTTAACATGTACAATCAAAGGAATAAAATAAAGTAGTGTAACAAAAGATTTTTTAGCAAGAAAATTTTGTCAAAACTGCACTAAAATGAATAAAATCAAATAAGTTAAGGTCTCGTTAAAGTTACTAAAAGCCATTTAGTGAAAGGAGTTATTCAAACTCTAATGAAAATTACTAACAATTTGTACTAATTTACTTCGTTTTTAAAAAAGCTTGTCGGGATGACCAAGTTAAATAAAAGCTTATAAAAAAGGAAAAGAAAGCGAACAGAGCGCGAGCTAGACTCGGCCATTTTGTCAAAAGGCAGCTCGAGAGATTTTACATACGTGTTAAGAAAAAGTGTGTATCGGCTAAAATATTAGCCATCCGCTGAATAAATAAACCAGAATTATATCCTGGAATTTTTTTTCTTCTTACGTCCATTTTGGTCTAAAGTGAGACGGCTATAAATTTCGTGCACAGTTTCCTACTTGGATTTACATGGTGTTCGTTTGTTAAAATTAAAGCTACATTATAATAAAAAGTTAACCATTATTTTATTTGCACGAAAAACATTGCCAATATTAAAAAAAAATCAGCGTATACTAAATTTTCTGAATAACTGTAAGAGCACGTCCATATATCTATGTATCTATGTATGTACATACTCGTATGTATATTATTACATATATGACTATGGAATGGCACAGAACATGTTTGTATTAAAGTGCAAAACCCTACTTGAGCATCTTCTTCGAGTGCCGGCAATCGACTCGAGTTATGAATATTGCTTGCGTCCGGACTGTGGCCGGAAAATGTTATTTTCCCATTTATATGATTTTATGAGAGTCTATTGAAAGCCAAGTGCGGTCGATGCACATGCACATATTTGCTGTGAAAATATTTAGTTGCGTAAAAAAATAGTTATAAAATTTATTTTTCGGGGAACACATGTAAAGCTTTGAGTTGTCTAACCAATACTTTTAGCTTTCGAAGGATAAAGGTATTGATTTATGAAGGAAATATGTTTTGCATACATATATATATGTATGTAGTATGTTTTAAATTTATGCACTGCAAATACGCATTGCAAATTCAAAGAAATACGAAGAAATACGATGAGTGTGAGTGCTGGTACACGCTGAAAAGAAGGCAATGTCGGATGATAACGAAGTGTAACTGCATATGAAGCCATTTTAAGTGGATAGTAAACAATTTTGAAGTAAGCGGTTATAATAGTAAAATTAATATAAATAAAAAATATCATTCCACATGGGATGGTGTGGACACATGAGAATGAAATTAAACTACAACCATAAAAGAATATTGGAAAATATTAACGACTTCTTAACGGTTCAATAGATATTGGGCACTCTTGATTAAATGCAAGCATTCATACAGATAACACCGTGTGAAAAAAAAACAAAAAAATTCAAAAGATACAAAACAATAAACATGCTCAAGAAACTATGTGCGTTTTTACTTTTTTTCACTGACGACAGGACTTTTTAAAAGGTCGCTGTGGTACAGTGGTTAACAGCGTATACGATCATTTCGCAGGGCATGAGTTCGAGCCCAGTTTAAGACCAACACCAAAAAAATTAAACAAAAAAATATTTTTCAAATACCGGTCGACCTTGGCAGGCAATGGCAAACCTGCATCTCAAAAACATACACCTGCCGCTCGGAGTAGACGTAATATTGTAGGTTCCTCATCTTTGTGTGACAAC